GTGAATGCTTTCATTGTATTCTGTTTTATTCACTTGTTTTGAGACAGGTTCTCACTGTGTAGTCTTGTCTGCCCAAGCACTGCTATGTGAACCAGGCTGGCATCGAACTCACAGAGATATCCTTGCCTTAAGCTCCCCAGTGATGAGTTAAATGTCCTTTAAAGTCTTATTATATTTGATTTTTCATGTTTTCTATGTTACTATGTTGCATGTTTTGAAGGTACTATCAGTAAAACATGTAATGTCTCTGGATCCAGATATAGAACTATTCCAGCACAATATCCATCTGCACTCATCCATCTTCTTGCCATGATGATAATTAACTAAACTTCTGAAACTGTAAACAAGCCCAATTCTATGCTTTCTTTTAAAACAAGAGTTGCAGTGGTCATGGTGCTTTTTCACAGCAAGAGTACACTGACTAAGACACATTGATTGTTCTTTTTAATTTCGTTAAAACTTTGTTTTCTATTGACCGAAACACGTATTTCCATGTTGTGTAATCATTTTACATACATAGGGCATGCTCTGTGATTGGGTAAGGAAAGAACAGGTAAATGGCATCTTTGTTTATAGTTTTCCTAAGTATATTATTTTTTATACCTTAATAATTCATTAGATGTATTAGATAATATTATAAAACATTGTAAAAAAAACAGTGAGAAATGTATCATAAAGACATGAGTTATGGGGAAAATGTAATGGAGAAATACAAAGCCAGAGAAAAATAGAATGTAAAGTGAGAAAAAAATTTCTTCCAATAACTTTTTAGGCTGACTAATGCAGGACAGTGTCTGCATATTGCTTAAACATCCAACATTGAAAATCACAGGGCATCAAAAGTAGTTCTGCATTGGGGACATACTTGTGTGGAGATGTAACTCAGTAGGGATAATGGTATGCTTCCATACCCAAGATTCTGTGTCCAGTCCCCTATACATGGTAAAATGGGGTAGGAGAATCACACATGCTTGTAGTCCAAGGTACTCCAAAATGTTTCAAAGATTAGTAAAGACACTGCTGATTTCTCTAGCTCACCATTTCATAAGCTGAAGCAGAAATGGAAGAAAGTTCTATAAAATGTTTATAAACAAATGAAGTATAGATGATAATGAGGGTCATACATTTAAAAACTTCTATTTCTCTTGTGAGTCTGAAAAAAACAGGTAGCCTTGCCACCTTGACTTCCTCAAATATGGGCAGAAAATATCCTGAAGAATTTTTGAGTCTCTGCAATTACTTATCTGTGCTTCCTTCTTGTATAATGAGTATGTTCCATGTACTCTGTTTTCCTTAATTGTATAAATAATTATCACAAGACACATGTAATGTTATCTTTCTCAAATAAGCTGGGACAAATCACTTGCAAGGACAAGAAGTTCTGAGATCCTAGGTCTCAGTAGGTGGAATAGTTTTCCACATGTAAGTAAATATAGAAAGAATAAGAGGATTGGTAAGACTGAAGACTGAATACAGATGAGCTTATTTTAAATGTGACCCCATAGTCATTTGTAGTCGAAGCATAAATCCAAGGTCATATATGTGAATGACAGAGAAATGCTAGAGAAACATGGGGTTAGGATAGAAGGAATGAAATACTTCATTGCACATGAGGCTGTGAATTTTCAGCTCTTTTCTTCCACTGCTCCTGATTTATTTGTTTCAAAATAAATGAAGTGTGGATATTGACATTATGTTTACCCTCAATACATTCACTTTCTCTGTGTTTGTTTTTAATTTAAATGACTGTGTATGGTATAGTGCCATGACACGTGAGAATTTTATTCTACTTCAGACATAGTTGATATGTCTTTTATGAAGGCAGATGCCTTGACTATATTTTCAGAATTTCTGATTGAGAAGACTTAGAATCCACATATAACTTTATAAACACTTCAAATTTGTCCCTGACAATTTTCCATGAAGTATTCTGAGAAAAAGTTGACATTATACATAAAAGCATAATGTGTGAAATAGAATTATTTTAAACCTGAATTTCACTGAGCATTAAACATATAACTTCAAGAGTTTCAGAGTTTCCAGCAATTAAAATGGTAGAGAACATAATTGTCTGTAGACAGCTATGAACATAGGCAAGTATTTCTTTTTAAAAAGTATCAAGGGCAAAAAATACATAGTTGATGAAAATAACTTCTCAAAATCCTTTTCTGGATTATGTCACCTCTTTGTCTACAGATTTCTTTTTTGTAAACTAAAATTTCATTTATCTTAATTAAATTCATGTTCTACTTATTTCTAAAAATTGATAATTTAATAATACATAAATGAATAATTTTAATCACCTTTAAAATGCTTATAATTATTAATCAGCATTATAGAACACTTATAATATAATACATTGCAGAACTCTCATAAATTGCTTATGAATTCTCCCTTCTTGTACCAAATACTTAGTTCCTAACCTGAAAGAGGGATATTGTAGTATGAAATCTCCAAAATGAGATAGAAAATTTCCTTTTCCTGTTGTATTTCCCTGTACCTACAGTCATAAAATCAAATTAATAAAAGAAAACACAGTTCTAGGATACACAGTAGGTTGGCAAATTAACAAGAAAATAATTCCCATAAAAATTATTGTGAACAATTAAGTCCAGGCTCTTTAGAGGGATATGGGAGTATTATAATTTTTCATATATAATAGTTTGTTTCTTCTTAATCATAAGGCTGGAAAATTAATTTTTAAAATATATTTCCATTGTCATAATTTTACATAAGGTGAACTTTAATGATGTATCATGTTTACCATATATTCACTCATATTTGTAAGCAGGTGACTCTAAAAGGAAAAAAAACAAGTTTGATGGTGCTAGAGAGATTTCCAAGTGGCTAAGAGAACTTATTACTCTTCCAAAGGACCTGAGTTTGATTCCCAGGACCCACATGAAAACCCACAATCCTTTGTCATTCCAGTCCAAGGGAATTTAACTACTCTTCTGGCCTCTAAGGGCACTGAGTGCATACTGCATAGATATACTTGCAATAAAAAAAAAACATAAAAATAAATAAATAAGCCGGGCGGTGGTGGCGCACGCCTTTAATCCCAGCACTCGGGAGGCAGAGCCAGGCGGATCTCTGTGAGTTCGAGGCCAGCCTGGGCTACCAAGTGAGCTCCAGGAAAGGCGCAAAGCTACGCAGAGAAACCCTGTCTCGAAAAACCAAAATAAATAAATAAATAAATAAATAAATAAATAAATAAATAAATAAATACAATGAAAAAATATGAGTAATTTGGCATGTCTATAAAAGAGATTATCATGGTTATTTAGTGTTAGATAGACATGAACTACTTTTTAAATAAGCTATTAACTGAGCAAGTAAAAATTATTCCATTAATACTATGTATCCATAAATCCATTATAATTCACTCCTTATTCTATAAAAACTCACTTACCAATGATTTATCAATATCATTGCTGAAAATTTCAATTAAGTACCTATAAAAATTTGCATATCTGTCTAAAATAATGGGCATCTCATTACGTAATTTGTATATACTTATAACTGGCAGACTATTAGAGGCTATCTGTATTTATATTGCTTTGATATTTCTAATAAAAAATGTAGTAGTTTGTGTGTTTGTTTATAATTGTTACCTTAGTATTTTTCATCATGAATAAATAAAAATTAATATACATGCATTTTGACTTGGCAAAAATTTAAAGTGGAAACTAAGTTCATGTTTTGCATGAGAATTAGACCCATTTTTAATATATGTTGTCTCTCTTCCTAAATATTTAAACCATATTGGATAAGACTTAATACACTAGAATCAGGAAATCTTGGCATTGTTGGGTGTTTGACCTGCCTGTATATGCCATTGTTAACCTTTGGGCAAATGATGTTAATTTTCTTGCTTAAGGGGAGAATTTCCTCATCTTCAGTCTGAGAGCTTTGAACTAATTGGTCTTTGTTTATTGCAAGTCTGTGCTGTAGCATCACTATGGTTTCACATAAGATGTATCCTTTTAGGAAAAAAAAAGCCTGGTAACTGATTAAATCAGTCTAATGAGAAGCTAGTAACATCAGTAATGCGATGTTTTCACTGTTGTGACATTGCTGGCACAAGCTGTTTTTTGCTTGTAACAGCGCTGCTTGATTTCAAGTTCCTACAAAGACAACAATATTACATCTGATTGCAAAAGATACACCGAGTCTAAACACTGAAAGCTGGTGAACAAATATAGCAGGGGAAGATGAAAAAGTGCAACTGGAAATACCAAGCAAAACTAACAAACAAATTTGCTTATGACTAGCAATCAAGGGTGGCAGTATCCAGTTCTCATCCAAATATTGTGAACATTAGTTAGCATTCTGTCAACAACTTAATGCTGTGAATCTTAAAATGGGGAAACATCTCTGAAAGAAGCATTGCATGAGAATATCTTTTGACAATATAAAATTTCCAATAATTGTGTGGTCACAGTTCGAGATGGTATAGTTCCTCTACTATAAAAATTAAATACTTTAAATTGGTTTTGTATATATTTATCTCTCTTTTTATGGAAAGGAGAGTAGAACTTGAAGTGTGATGTGTATAGATGCTATTAGTGATGACAATGTTTTTGCGTGAGTGACTTTGGAAAACTTTCTCATGGAGCTATGTTCTCAAGGAGAAGATGATGTTCCTCAGCCCTTTTTCTGAGCTCATCTTACTTGTCACCCTCCTAATATATTTCATGAATGTATTTCCACAAAATCAGTGAAAAGAATAAAATCTGTATCATTATCTGTACACATACATTTATGAATGCCCTCTTTTGAAAGTCAATTTTTTCTTCTTTATTATTTTTTTATTTTATTTTACGTCCCAAACACGGTTTCTCCTCTCTCCTCTCTTCTCATTCCCTCCCCCCATTTCCCTTCCACCCCTCCATCCATTCCTCCTCTGTTTCTATTCAGATATTGATGAAACATGGTATTTCAAGTTGTAGTAAGATTCAGCACTTTGCCTTTTATTAAGACTGGACAAGGGAGCCAGTATAAGGAATAGGGTCCCCAAAGCCAAAAAAAGAGTCAGAGATGGTACACGCTCCCACTTTTAGGTGTCCTTCAAGAAGATAAACTACACAAATGTAACATATATGGGAGAGGGTCTAGGTTCGTTTCATACAGGCTCCCGGGTTGTCAGTTCAGTCTCTGTGAGCTCCTGCAAGTACAAGTTAGTTGAGTTAGTTGATTCTGTTTTGTTTCCTTGTGAAGTCATTGATGCCTCTGACTCCTCCCATCTTTCCACCCTATCTTTAGAGGATTCTGAGCTCTGTTTAATGTTTGGCTCTGGGTTTATGCATCTGTTTATACCAGTTGGTAGATGGAGCCTCTCGGATGACTATTGGGCTAGGCACCCATCTATGAGTGTAGCAGAATGCTGTTAAGCATCATTACATTGACATTTTTTTTCCTTCAGTTGTTTTGGTTCTATCCTAGATCTCTAGGCCATCCAGATTCTGGGTTCTGGTGCTTCAGGAAGTGTCAGGTATGGGCTATTTCTCATAGCATGGGTCTCAGGCTGAACCAGTCATTGATTGGCCATTCCTACAAACACTGTGTCACCCTTACCACAGCACATTTCATAGGTGGGAGAGTTTGAAGACTGAAAATTACATGGCTGTGTTGGTGTCCCAATCCCTACACGAGAAGGTTTGCCTGGTCACAGTAGGTGACCAGTCAGGCTACATACCCTCAATTGCTAGGAGTCTTATCTGGTGTCATTCTTGCAGATCCTTTTGGAGTTTCCCTTACTCCAGGTTTCTATCTGACCTGAAATGGTCCCTTTTATCAGTCAGCTCTTTTAGTACTCTCCCCCATACCCTTCCCATGTGATCCCTCTTGTTCTCATTCCCATCGGCCCCAATCCAACCAGGAAATCTCTTTTATTTCACCCTCCCTGAGAGATCCTAGTGCCTCCCTTGACCTCTCCTTGTTACATAGCCTCTTTGAGTTTGTGGATTGTAGATGGTTATTCTTTACTTTAGAGCTAATATTCACTTAAGAGTGAGTAAATATCATATTTGTCTTTATAAGTCTGGGTTCTCTCAGGATGATTTTTTTTCTAGTTCCATATATTTGCCTGCAAATATCATGAAGCCATTGTTTTTAAGAGCAGTGTAATGATTCATTGTGTAAATGTACCTCATTTTCTTTTTCCATTCTTCAGTTGAGGGGCTTCCAGGTTGTTTCCAGCTTCTGACTATTATGAATAAAGCTGTGATGAACACAGGTGAGCAATTTTCCTTCTGGTTTGATTAAGCAACCTTTGAGTATGTAGCCAAGAGCGGTAGATCTTCATCCTGAGGTACATCAATTCACAAATTTTATCTTTTAAAGATTTTCAGGTTTTAATACTTCAAGCACCTGTATGTTTATACTATAGAATATGAATCAAATAGCCACATCTTCCTTCACTCACTCATATTTTATAAAAATGAAAAGAGTATAATGGACAATGTAGATCAACTATCCCCTGAGCATGGTATATAACAAGAGTATAGTTTCAAAACCACCTTTTAGGGATTTTATTTTCTCCACTGGGTATTATTAGCATCATTTTCAAAGGTCACTTGCTCCATATATGTTGGTTGTATTTCTGTACTCATATTGATTATTGTGTATCATAATACTTGGCTCATTTACATTGATACATTTTGTGTCTTTGGAATGAACAAAACTTGGTTATGATGCATGAGCCTTTTAATTAACTAGATTTGGTTTCATAATGATTTTTAAAGAGTTTTGCGTCTTTGCTCATACATGACATTGACTTTTCTCTGTAGTGCCTTTACTTAGATTTTGTATGTTGGACATACTGGCCCCATAATATGAATCTGAGTTATCACTTATTTTCAAAGTAATGGAGAGATCTAAGAAAGCCCATTTGGCCCTGTTCTGCCAATGCTTAAAAAAAACTGTGCCTGTGAGGATGTAGGACCCTATGCTTTTCTTTATTTGTTGGTTCTCATGATCACTTCATTCTCTTTGCAGGTTATTTATCATAACCATCTGATTTGTTTTCATAATTCAGTTGTAGTAGACTGTATGTTTCATAAAATGAGTTTTTTTTTCAAATATCCTTAAGTTCTTGTTGTATAATTATAGTACCTCATACTTTTTGTATTTCTGTGGTATCAAATATAATGTTTGTTCTTTCATGTATATGTTTACATGTTTGATTCTGTCATTTTGCTTCTTTCTAATCCACCTAGGATTTGTCAGTTTTTACTTTCTTTTCAAACTAATATTGTAAGGAACATTTTTCTTGAACTAAAAAATATGTTCTATTTTTACTAATTTATTTCTGCTGCCATGTTTATTATTGTCTACCTTTGCAGGCTTTGCATTTACTTTGAATTTCTATGAGTTGTAAGGTTATATTTGCTTAAGATCCTTCTCTTTCATTACATTAGTCATTTATTGCTTTCTTCTCCCCTATTAATGCTACTTTCCTTCATTACATGCTTTAATATTTCATGCTTTAATTTTTGTTTAATATAAAGATATTTTATAATTGTTAATTTTATTCATTTTGAACCCCTTTTTGTTCATATACATATTAATTACTACATAGACATAAATGTTTCTGTTTTCCTCATACCAGTAATTTCTAGTTTCATTGTAATATAATATAAAAAAGACATTTTTGTTCTGAATTTATCTTAAAGTTGTTGGTAATAATTTTCTTTTTGTCTCAAAATATAATTTATCTTGAATAATACATTATTTATTTAATGGTCCTAAGTTAGGTATATATTTATTTTATATTCCATTATACTAGTAATGAATTATCTTTTTGCCAATATATGGTGACTTTAATCATCTCTTTTGGAATATTTTGACCAAAACCCTGCATTGGCAGAATAAACCACTTAGGTGCTCCATTAGGTGTCATTTTTCTTTTAGTTTATTTTCAGCCCATGTACATTAAGACAAGAGTTTAATGAGCAGAGTATTCCTGAATATGTATTTTACATGTGTGTAGTATGACAGACTTCTGGAGAAATGCAATATGTACACACACATGCATAAATACACATGCACAAACATACACACATGCACACACACACACACACCTACTAAACCAAAAATCTACAACAGACCATGAAACTAAACCCATGGAGCTCTCTGCATAGTGGGCAGGAACTCCACTATCCACGAATCTTGTCTCTGTAGTTTGGCTGATCCAAGTTTCCTTACTGAAGACTTGTGAACAGCTGCTTTAAAGCTGGAGGGGTCTAGCAAGTTACATGTTGCCCATACATGTAAATGTTATTTACTTCTGTACCTCATGATTCTCTTCCTCTCTTTGGGAGAAAAATGCTTTAATTTATTCATTCATTCATTCATTCATTCATTCATTCATTTATTTTGGGTTTTCGAGAAAGGGTCTCTCTGGAACTCACTTTGGAGACCAGGCTGGCCTTGAACTCACAGAGATCTACCTGCCTCTTCCTCCCAAGTGCTGCGATTAAAGGCGTATACCACAACCGCCCTGCAAAATACTTTAATTTAGAGGAAATGGTTATTAAACAAGCACTTAGATCTGTGTTTTGATTGTATAATTAACCAATTCACACAGAAAGGGATTATTGGTCAATATGAAAAATATTTGATGTTCTTTTAAAATTTTGCTTTTTGCTATACTTTTTTTGGCGATTGGATTTCTGTTTATTTGGAGTAGTATTCTTAGATTCTTTTTTCTAAACTATTCATATCTAATAGAGGTGCTTGATTCTTGACAGTGAACAAAAATTCACAGTGAAAATATAATACTAAGAGTCAACATCTCCCTCATAAGAACACTGTAGTTTATAGTTCTGTATTTTCGAGGTCACATTTTATGTATTTTAACAATATGCACCCATAAGTGATTTAATATAGCTAAAGTAAATTCTAATATCTTAATTTTTTAACTTTTACATATAATTAAGTGCAATGTATTCACTACTATGGCAGCTTCAGAATATTTTAAATGTGTATTTGCCTCCTTTATCTCTGGGTTTTATACCTCCATACGTTTTCATGCTACTAGTAAACATTTCTTTCAAGTTGATTAACTCCTAATAGAATTCCAGATATCTCTATCTCTATCTCTATCTATACCTATACCTATAATCTATATCATCTATATATCTATCTATACATATATATGTATATATGCATACACACACATTCCTCCACATATGTACATATATGCTTGCTGTTTGTTTCTCATTTGTTTTGGATTTCACTTCTGAAATTGACTTTTGCCAGATGAATTCTTCTTGGTTTGCAGGTGCCTTGCTGTTCACTTTAAATACATCATCTCACTTCATCCCTACAAGGTCTTGCTTCAGCTGTCCTTTGATATGCTCATACTGGAACTCTCTTTTGTTGGTCAAGTCTTTCTACTCATTGTATTTTTTTTTGGTCTTTTTGTTGTTGTTGTTGCATTTTTGTTTGTTTTTCATTTTATTTTGTTTGTTTTTACAACTCTTTACTTCTCTTGACTTTGACCATAGTATTTCATGTAATAATCTTCTCCATCATGACTTTTTCTTAGGTCATTAGAGCCTCATAGTCTAGATGAGTACAGTCATTTCAAAATTTATGAAGTTTTTTTAATCTTTTTAATATATTTTTATATCCCTTTATATCTCTCTACTGCCCTCTGATACTGGACAGGGTATGTATTGGTTTGATGATTCAGAACAGGGCCTGTGTGCATTCTTTATTCTTTTTATTCTTCTTCTGCATTTGATTAATTTAAAATTATGTATTTAAGTTTCTGAATTTTTATTTCATTTTAGACTTCTATTTTTGAACTAGACTATTGAATTTTTCAGTTGTGTCATGTATTTCTTCTTCGGTTCTATAATTTCTGTTGAGTTCATTTTTTTAGTTTCTGTGTGATAGATGTTTCATTTTTTGTTCTTAATTTATTCTGTTTCCCCCTTAAGGTTTTTTCCAAGTGAAATTGAAATTGTTCAAAATGATTATTTTCAATTATTTGTCAGATTATTTTTTAATGAAATTGTGTTGACTCCTTTTGGTACCTGATTCTTTAGAATTCATATAAATTTATGTTTGAGTCTATGTCTATACAGACTTCCTTTGCCAACTGAAGATGTATAGTGTTGATTGAAGATGTCCTCCAGAGCTGCCATTTAACACAGCTGTATGGGGAGTCCTTGCCTAATTGAAACGTCAACAGAATATGCAGTGTGAGAAGTGTTACCAAGGGACTAGCAGGCTGTATGAGAGACTTCTGCATAAACTGGTCTACCTTTTGACCATGATTAATATGACGGGAGTAGCTTTCCACTGAATCTAAAGACTAGCAATCATGTTACTAGATATTTAGTTGAACATCTCTTTAGAGATATTTCTAAGTAGAAGAACCATTCCCATGCTACATATGAGACTATTTAGAATCAAAACATATAGATACTTCAAGTTATATAGTTCAACAAATTTCAAAGGAGTAGCATGTGGTTTGCATGAATTGATAAATCCCCTCTTAATTGGTAACTTTGCTACTCTCTGTCTAGCTGAGAAAACCTGACAGATAAAGGGAACTTTTATATCATGTAGAAGTAATGATAGGACTCTATGGTCACTGACGGGTATATCTGTAGGGAGGGTTCTTTAGAGACAAGACAGATTTCAGAGTGTATGCGTGACACTCACAGTCTTCTTCATGTCTGCCACCAGAAATGAAGCTCATGCTTCTTTCCCATGGAACACAAGTAGTTCTAACTCCATTCTAAATGGCTAGTTGATGCTAGTGATGGCAGGATATAGGGAGATGTAAAGCTACAGTCAGACCTACCTTGACTCCAGGCACTGTTCCTGCCCATGAGGGATGGCCCTGCCCTCTCAAATGTTCCTCCTCATTCTTGGAAGATACCATAAATTTGCAAACTTTTGCTGAGACTACAAATTTCCCTCAAAGGCTGTTGTATAATATAAACAAGAAACTGTCCCTAAAAGTACTTTGTCTTTTTCTTATTGTGCTATTGGAAAAATTGTTTTCCGGGAATAGGGGTTTTCAGTGGACTTTTCATCAAAGAAATAAACTATACATGAGGACCAATCAAGAATTTGTCACATGAACGAATGAATGAATGAATGAATGAATGAATGAATGAATGAAAATATAAATGAATTAGAAGGTGACTCTAGTGTTTGATGGTTTTTGAAACTAATTTGTATGATAATTAATGCTGAATAAGACATGTTTTAAATTATGCCCTTTAAAAGCCTTACATGTTTATATTAGGTCTTTTACTACGTCAGAAAACTTCCTTTGTTTGAC